CTTTCCTGTTTATGCAGGGGGTCGGACTCGATGATCTACTGAGGTCCCTTCTGACCCTAACATATATGAATCTATAAGAACTGTATTTTTTAAGTGACTGCTCCAACTGTATGGTGAACAGTTCTACTTAGCTTATGTTAGAAGATATCTTTAAAGCTATTAATTTTTGTCAAACACTTGAGTGTGGTTCCACTGAATTTTAAAAATTAGCTTTAGAAATGTCTGACTCTTTAAATTACTTTCACTTTATGAGTTTTTAATTTTGTGTCTGAGGTGGCGTATTGATCAAGCTGATGTAGAGGCATTAATAATACTTTGGTGTGCTTTTGTTGGAATATAATTACATGGGTGGAAGAAGCCTGTGGCTAAAAGTCTTATTTCATTTTCCCGACATATATTCAATAATTGCTGACAGAAGAAGCTGAAAATTTACTCTGTGTGGTAGATAAATACACTCAGTCTTCAACTTCATAGTTTGTTATGCGCATATTTTTCTAAACATTTTTTCTTTCCATTTATGAATCAAGTAGGAGTTTGGATGATGGAGCTTTCTACTTTCTTCCACCTCCTTTATCATATCTTCTTAAAGTCTCAAAATGAACCAAATACAAATAAGTTTTTTCCATTATGAAATATAAAACACATACCGATTAACATTTATTTAATGTAAAGGAAATGAGAGCCATATTGCATGATACTCTGTACCAAGTGAAAAAGCCTGTGTTATAAAATGACTAACCCTTTTGTATTGGATATAGAGAGTTTATTATTATTTTAATATTATAAATTACACTAAAAGTATGCAGCATTTAAGTTGATTACATTTGTATTTGTTATGATTACTGTTTTATTTAGTGAGAACCACAGTAATAGAAGCGGGTGTCTATGTTAACAGCATCGGCCCAGTTGACCCAATCAATATGGTAAGTTATGGCTATTGCCCAAAAATAGTGTATGGAAAGTTTTATTATATACATATCATGAGTCAATACTCTTATTCAAATGATTTTTAAGTTGTCTTGAACTTTCACCTGCTTACTGGGTAAATCTACACTGTTGAAAACTTGAACTGTTTTAATTTAATGACAGAAACTGGAGACTATGATCTATTTTTAAGTATTTCGAAAATAGTAAAATTTACTACAAATACGTGATGAGATATGAAGATTGTTAGCTGCATTAAATTGATATAGTTCATTAACGTCAATGAAGCCATGTGAATTACAGAAGCTTAGGATCTAGTCTAGTGGTCCTGTTTAGAACGTGGTCCAAGATGTGATTGCTTTTCAGCCCTATGGGCTAAGATCATGTGCTAATCAGTGCAACTCTGAAATAAGAATAGGAAGGACTGAGGTGGCATTTGGGAATGAAACTATTGCTAATGGAGTCACTTTCACTGGGACAGAAATGAAAACAATTATGAAACGAGATATTTTTTACTCGTTTCCAATTCTCAAGCAGCCTCAGTCAGCTTCTTCAAGTGAGATATATCAGTGGATCTCCACCTACTCCATGGAAAAGTATATTGATATATACCAGCTGATGACTTATTCGATTATGTTTGAAAAAAAGGTTATTCAGGGCAGAATGAATAACAGCGCTTGTTGAAACTGAAGTTGGTCCTGTGGCATTTACTTAAAATATTGGCATGTTGTGCATAGTTTCTCTGAAAGAATATTGCTGGCAGTTTTAATGAGGATTCAGTGCATGCCATCCCTTGCAGGGTGTCATCTGTACTGGCTGTTGTCTCGACCAGCACTCATAATCTAGTAGGTATCGCACACTGTGGGTATCAGGTATGAGGTCAGTTCCTTTCAGCCTTGTGCACAGTTGTACAAATCCATGGCAATCTTGCTTTTAATACAGCGAGTATATTTTTAAATAATGTAAAGGACTGGCACATTATAATTCAAGGAACAGCTGAACTTTTATAAAGTGAAATTTACTTAAATGATTTTAAAGGGAACAAATGTATTTGCACATAATGTTTTATTGTAGCCTAGCAAACACAAACTCTCAATAAAGCAAAATGAAGCAGGAAAAGTGTAGGGAGCTTACTTAGCATGACAATAAGCACATTAGAAAACTTAGTGCTTTATGGCCTAGCATACATATACCTATCCCAATAGATTAATGAGCCTGGAGAAAAGAGTCTGTATTTCTGGTTGAGCTGTGTAGGAAGGTGTGAATATAAAGCAGCTTGGATGCCAAAGCACAGGAAAAATGGAGAGTGGGGAAGCGGTCAACTCTCCAGTTTAGCTGCAGAAAGTTTCTGCTGCCCCATCTGTCTTCATATCACAACCTCCTTTCACTGCCTTTTCACTTTCCCACCTTCTCTGGCAGCCTCTGAAGCACTGCGCAGTAGAAACAGCAATATATGGGAAGGCAGTTATCTAGAGGGAGGTGCAGAAAGGCTCCTCTGCCAATTATCAACGTAAGTGAACAGTGATATCAAGAACTGTTAGGGTGTGGAGGAAAAGTGCACAGCCACCAGCAACTGGATGTCAGGTGGGGGACAGCAGGACAAGAAGAAGGTGTGAGTTCAGGACATTTTGGAAAGGTTGAACTCTTAGGGATACAGAGTAGAAAAGTGAGAAGACTGGGTTTGGGTGGCTGGGATTGTCCCACCTGATTATTGTTGTTATTTTCTATAATGAAATTGTGAGCAAATGTTGATTAGAGAGCCTTTGGAAATAGCAAGTAATCCATTCAACCAATATTGATCTTGTTAGATATTTTCAGCAGTTAAAAATGTTGCTGAAGAAGCCCAAAACTGCTAGCAAATATTTTAGCACTTGGTCTCTTTTCTGAATGTTCAATCTTCCTTTTTTTCTTTTCTTTGCATTTTTTGTTTAACATTTCAACGTTCTTACTCGCAAAGATTTCTGACTGTAGCATATAGTACTAACTGAAGGCCACTATGATGGATTGTTTCTATTAAAATGGGTATTTCTTTATCCCATGTATAGTCCTATTTCAATCAGTAAGTCTACTTAGTGGCATAGGATACTATGTAACACAATGGGGTATGAAAATATGGCCTTGAAGGGACTATCTGTATGTTTTTGACTTTTATATTTCAAGGCCAGGTTCTGTTTTATTTACTCATTCTATTAAGCAATTACTCACATAAGCAACATTCATCGATATAAAGGGCAGTAGTGTTCCACTCTGACCCATGTCAAATGTTACTTCAACTACAAATATGAAATTAAAATAACCATCCCATTTAATTTTTGAAAGGTACTAATAGGGTGCCCTGCTATCTGTAAAATAAATAGATCCCTTACTAGATAAAGGAAAATCTGATAAGATTAGTGACAGACAAATCCTGATTTAAACAAACAGCACCAACAAAGCCACCTATTCAAATGCACCCTGTTTTTCAAATCTTTTCAAATTAGCAGAGAACTACATGGCAAATTAAAATATGGTCCAATTCCAACTTCTTACTCTGTCCTTCACAGAAAGCTACTGCTTTCACTAGGCTTGGACATCAGTAACCTGGATAAAAAGGGGTACTTATAACATGGGTAACTAATAATTTTATAAAGTATATTAATTAATGTATTAATTTATTTGTATGAATGTGCAAATAATTCTTTCCAGGGGTTTTTAATATTTTTAAAAAGTGACAATCTCAAATTGTTAACAGGGAAACTGTGGGCTGGAAGCTTAATGCCCTTTCCCATGCAGGTTTTTAATTTTCTTGCAAGTGGTTCCAAAGGAGTTCTAGGGTCTGAACCAATATTTTTATGCAATTCCATCAGAAGGAGGACTCTGTTATGCCTTATTACTGGTGGTGACCAGTTATGTGCCATGGGAGCATAGATGTGCTAGTCATAATCAGACAGTTGATCTTTAAGGATAGTATCTCACTTTGACACACATAGATAACTGATATTTCAAGTGTAGACCAGCCAGGAAATGTAACACTTAAATCCCCTCTAATGTGTGTAGCTCTTGCACCAGGAAAAGACAAACGATTTCAATATGTGAGAATAGCTAGAAGTTTAAAAAAGACAAATGTATTAAGGTGTCCAATCCCCAATTCTGTTTTAGACCCCAGAGTCTCATATTCTATTAGATCTCATAAATAGATATGGGATTGTTTTGAGTATTTGATGTTACACACTTAGTAGGGAAGGCAAGTTAGCTAGTATTCAAGTGTTTGTGCCAAATAAATATTGAACTGTCTTTCTTCAAAAAAATATGCTAATTACAAGGAAAAAGTTTTCATTTAAATATTCTGATTTCCTTCTTTATCACTTAATCATAAGTGGAGCATGAGGCACTAAACATATTTATCTTACTTAGAAGAGTGCATTAAGGTCTGCAAGCATGAGTAAATAACTGAAGTTTAGAAATCTAGTGTTGGTCCTTGTGGTTCATTTAATTGATCGTTCATATTCCTCTACCTGTAGGCATTTCTTGCACTCATGACAAACTGCAAAGAGAAACATGAGTGATTTTAATGAGAAAATGTACACTGAAAAATACTGAGGGCTGTATTACCATCTTACTTGGAGTCTGGCAGTACTGCTTCCACAATATGTAACCCAGATCCACATAGCGTCCTGGTTTGTGTCTGTCTAGCTGTCTTGGTTTCTTAAGCCCATAGCCACTTTTTGTTTTGTTTTGTTAATAGATGTGTTTTTACATAAGGCAGTAGAGGCTCATGCTTTCAGATCTACTGGTTTGATCCATTTTACTGAACACTCAGGGCTGTCAGATTGCAAATACATTTACACAACTTCATATAAATTTGTAATCCTATCATTGTGCTTCTTTTAGAATAAATCATATAAAGCATAATTTAGTGCCCTTAAAAGTGTGTGTGAGCGCGCATGCATTGGTAACTTTTGTCATTTTCTGCTACCCTCCT